CCGACCCGACCCGAAGTTTCGGGTCGGGTTCGGGTTGGCTCATAACCCGACCCGAACCGACCCGTTCGGAGCACTATTCTAAACCCAGAATTAAATCCGATTTAAAGTTAAGGTAAGGTTAGCTTTAGGGTTAGAGATTATTATACGTAGCTATTTTACGAGAAGAATTTTTATTATTAGGAATTTGAGATATCAATATAACCGTGTTTTATACACTAGTGTTCAAATAGAAATTACCTTAAAATTTTATCATATACTATGAAAATTAGTGTAGTACTCTAAATAAAAATGTTTAGCACATATGGCCACACTTATCGCTAATCTAATTCTAATTTTAATATATATAAAGCCTGTACAAACATTATACAGGGTAGTATGCACTATGGGCAATGGCAATAAATTTCTTTTTTAAGTACGTATATATAAATTTAGATCTACATATTAATTCATTTTATCTTTAAATACTATATCTAATAGATTTTACGTATAACTTCATTATTCAATTTGGGTATTTTAGCTAATAGTCTAAGAAACAAGATATACATGGTTCTATATACTAAGTAAAAAAGCAAAGATTTTTTAATAAGCTCTAGATGTATAAAGCAGTACCAAATACATTGCAAATAAGTGTTGCATCATTCATCTCTAGTTTCTATTTCAGTTATCCCAATTTGAAAGTAAAAGATATTTTAAAATTCTTTTGTTTAACAGATTACTTTAATATTATTATATCTCTGTTTACACATCAAAGTATGCATAATTCTTGTTTATGTTATTATTAATTGTTGATTTCAACTTTAACATTATCTTGTTTGCGACCATGAAAAAAAAAAATGGTGAATATCACACATTGCCTAAAAGGTCATAAATGCATGCAGCGAGTATCTATGTGCAGTATCTTTCGAAATATGTCCAAATTCAAAAATATCATATTGTATGTAATGTCTGATTTATTAACAGCAGAAAGAATTTTTTTAATGTGAACATAGGTAGAAAACTAGACATCAATCACATCATGTTATTGAAGCGGAAATTATTAGTAAATAAATTATATATTTTTGGAGGTACTCACGTAACATATCAATGTGTAAACAATTTGTGTCACACCTTATTGCGTATAAAAGGCTTTTCATTTATGTATCTTATAATTAACATATGTAGCATTAATCGAGTAATATAAAAAAGCACTATTGCTATTGGATTTTTTTGATTAAAATATAATTTTGTGTGGCGTTTTATGCGCATACCTATAGATCACTCTTTTTTTTCTATTAGAATCTAATCTAAAAATATAAGTTTATACGTACGTATTACAGTTACACGCACGCGTCGAAATAATTATACGTACTACTTATTCGATTTAAAAGTTCAAAACAGCTGCGTAGGTAAATTTATGTGTAAAGAAAAAAAAACCCTCTAGAGTCAAATTTGAAGATGAATAAATTGTTTTAATATATATATTCATTATCTGTCATTATTGTTTGTGTAATAGTTTTGTTTAGTTTTTGTTTTGGGATTTTTTAACAAACAAACTTGTGGGAAGTCGAACTGAATTGTTTATGGAATTACTTATTTATGTATACCTTCAAGGGAAATGTTCCTTGAAAAAAAAGCTTGAATCTGAATGATAAAGTTTTCTCATTTGTAGAAAGGAATATCGAGCAAAGAATTTAAATTTTAAATATATATTAACTTTGAAACAAGGGCTGGTTTTCAGGATTAAAATATAAAATTTCCAAAATAAGCCAAAGTCGATGTTTCTCAAACAACATCTAAATTTACGAGTTTTGTATATATAGATTAATACTATAAAAAGTTCGAGGATCCACTGGAGTTTCACTTAATTATTTTCCTATTTTATGAATTGTCTGTCACTCATAATGTCAAAAACAGAAAGTGCCAATCTTGATTGGCAAAATTGAGAGTAATGTTAACGCATATGCGTCGCAGTGTTGACCTACGAAAAGAAGCGTAAACGGGGAACAATGGTTACAAAATTACAAATCTGGAACATTCAAAGATATCCAAGCTTACTGGTGTTACTATTTTATCTGAATAATATAAAATCGGGAATTACAAACATATAAGTTCTGCCATATGTCTGTAGTTCATTTATTCTTCTACCTTATTTTTCTGTACAGGTGCATGAAAACAAACAAAAATAAATGAAAGAAAATCGTCAATAAGCACTGTTTATTTCGAAACTTTTTCACTCCGTTTTTTTTTTTTCTAACGATCATTTAATACCAAGTTTTCCCATTTAGATAGATCACTCTTACTTATTTAATATAGTGTTTTGACAATACTGCTTTCATATGTTTTTCGTTTAACTTTCCGGATATGACTAGTCAACTTGATAGAATGCTCGGACAGTTACAACAAGAAGAAGAATTGAATGCGGTAAGCGCATTACAGGCTTGATACTTATATTTATTTCTTCTATAAATTATTTTAATCTCATTTAGACAATGCATCGATATAGGGTTTTGCACGTGATGAAAAGTTTGATATCCTAAGACGCAAAAAATCGAGTGGAAATGTCAAAGGTTTAAGAACATATGCATCTAATGAACGCATGCAAGAATGTTCAAAGTTTGGTTCAAACTTAAAACAGAAACGACCTACTGACTCTCCAGCGCTTCTTAGTAGATCACCACCACCAAACTATAACCTAAAATCGGTTACACCTATACATAATGGAAAATTCAACCCGGCAGCATCAACCTTTCCACATGTAGAGACTTCTTTAAATGGTAGGTTAAATCTATTATCTACATAGTTATCTATCTTGTCTAAACAACTTTCTAAATCTTAATTTGTGAACCTTAGGATCTGATGTTAATATTTCAAAATCGATTCGTCACAAACCTTCAATAAAGAATATGTTTGGCGCAAGTAGTGAGAGTGATAGTGATACCACAGAAGTAACTTCATCCGATGGTAGTGATAATGATGATGATAGTGGGAGTGATGGCACTCCTTACGTTCTTAAAAGATCCAAGACTCTAAGAATATTACCTAATTCAAAACCAACTTCCAATGAAGCTAAACTATTATCACCTCCGGTTTTATCGCCAACATCTGCTACTTCTTTCGGTTTTCCTCGGAATCCGACAAATAAACTTCATCGTACTCTAACGACCACTCATGGTCAATCTCAGGAGTTTATTGATAAAGAAAGAAGAAATGGTTTGCGTGACAGAAACGATGATGAATTAAAGTATAGACAAAAAGATACTAAATATAGAGAAACTAGTGAAATTTCTAGAGATGGTCATTATAGATCTTCAAGAAATAGAGAAAGAGAGCCTGTCGAAAGAATTCGTAGGCATTCTAAATCTAGAGAAAGGTCTGGCAGAACTGAAGAGAGGCATCAAGTGAAATCACGAGCAAGGGAACATGTTGACAGAGATAGGAGAGATCCGAGATTACGGGAAAAGGATGCAGAAGAGCTAGGGTGGACTATGATAGCTAGAAATGGTGAAGATTATGGGCACGCCAAATCAAAAACTCGTGAAGTTGATGAGCGTGGACGAGCTAAATCAAGCACTCGTGAAGTTGATGAACGTGGACGAGCTAAATCAAGAACTCGTGAAGTTGATGAGCCTAAATCAAAAACTCGTGAAGTTGATGAACGTGGACGAGCAAAATCGAGAACTCGCGAAGCGGAAGAACGTGAGCGAGCTAAATCAAGGGCACGCGAAGCAGAAGAACGTGGACGGGCTAAATCGAGAACTCGTGAAACCGATGAACGTGGACGAGCAAAATCAAAACCACGTGAAACAGAAGAACGCGAACGTGCTAAATCAAAAAACCGCGAAACTGATGAACGTGGTCGGGCAAAGTCAAAGACTCGTGAAACTGATGAACGTGGACGAGCAAAATCGAGGACTCGTGAAACTGATGAACGTGGACGAGCAAAATCAAGGACTCGTGAAACAGATGAACATGGACGAGCAAAATCAAGAACACGAGAACAAGAAGATAGAGAAAGGGCTGAAAAAGCCACACGTGATAAAGAGTATGAGATATTATTAATGGAAAAGGAAAAGTATACACTTCGACGTGAAAAGGTATGCTTAAAGGCTTTTATAGCACGCACAACTTAAAAAAAAACTTGAATAAATATGTTTCTTTGTTTACAGACTAAACATGAGACTCATCATGAAAAAGATGACACTCCTATATCTGAAGTAATGGTATGTAAAATAGAAAATAGAATTTTATATTTCTACTTAATTAATCCATATTACCTTCTTTTTTTTTTTTTTTTTTATCATACAGATTTATATTGAGGAAGCTCGTCAATATAGGGAAATGTCATTAACAGTCAACACGACGGCTCTGGATGTTTTAACTCACTTTCGTAGTGACGATACAATCTCAGATGCTGATGCTTGGACTTTATTCGAAGTAATAAACGATTTAGGATTGGGTAAGTTTTATGATTAATAAAAATAGTTTAAAAAATATAGATATCACTAAATCGCATAATCCATGCTTTTAGAACGTCCATTGAGGGACTGGGAATTTGTTGCCAAAGTTACTGGATCTTGGGAATTAGATAAGGATAATTCACTAGTTTTAAAAAAATATGCATACAGGAGTCCACTAACATTACAGGTCAGTATTCTTATTTGTCAACATTTAAACATTATTTTACTTACATGTCCAAAAAAATTTCCAATTTCAGGGTTTCAATAATACAGTACCAACAATGGTTGGTTTTTTACACCTTGAGATCAAGAAAAATAAATGGCAAAAACGTTACTTTCAAATAAAAGATGGTTCAATTTATCATAGTAAAGACGCAAAGGTAAGAGGAATCATTAATATCATTAATATCATTAATATTTATAGTAAAAATTGTTTAATTTAAAGATTTAAAATTTTCAACAAAAATAGGGAACAAATGAAATGTTTCTTTGTTCAATGGTATCATTTGATGTGTATACTTGCACACATATGACGACCAAAAAATATCAAACAAAGTTCGCTTTTGCACTAAAATCTCAAGATAAGATTACAATGTTTTTAAATCCAGAGAATGATTACATTCGTTTCTTATGTGCGGATGACTTGGATCTAATGAATAATTGGATTTTAAGCATTAGAACAGCCAGAGTATATATTTTATTTTTAAAATAACAAATTTCTAGAACTTGTATATATTCAAATGATAACGTTGGTAAAATTTATTTTTTAGAACAATGTAATGCGTCGAGAAAGACCTGAATTGTTTGTTGGGATACCTTCCAAAAATGAAAAAGTATCTTCACCGATTAATCTTGACATTCCGTTAACTAATGCATTACCGGCAGCAGTTTCCGAGGTTGGTTACATTTTTTTTTTTGTTAATCAGTTCAGTAACTAGATAAAATTTATCAATCAATGTAAATAACTTTTTTTAAAATTATATTTCTTCCTCATACAGACAACCTCATTAATGAGTGAGATTACATTTGAATTGGCAACTTTTGGCGGATCTGCTTTAACAAAGAATCCATTAGCATCTCCTCAAGTAACAACAGTTACAAAGGACACGACAGGAACAACTGCACAGAATACGACACAGAATACAGCACAACCTACCACTAATCAATGGGATACTTTGCGTCGTCATGTGCGTAGTTCTTCGGGAAAATTTGTAGAATTCACACCCAGTCGCCCTCCAATTACTCCTCAACTAAATACCAAAGAACTTAAGAAAAATGAATCATTTAATGCATCAAATCCACTTTCACCATCTACTGAGGAATCAAGAAAGAATCAATCTTCTGGGCCGTTTAAAGGTGGTTCCTTGTTAGATTATGATGAAAAAAATCCACCACTTAAACCCGTAGAAGTAGAAACTGTTACATTTGCAAAAGGTTCATTATTAGCATCAAATGGCTCTTTATTTGAACAAGCAAAAGAACGAGAAAAAACTCGTCGAGGAGTTGGTACTATCAAAGATCTGAATGGAAATAACACATTTAATACTGTAAAATTCCAAAAGGGATCTTTATTAAGTAAAAGTCCACCTGAAACCAACCAACCAATTCTACCACCTACAGGTCATTTAATACAAATCGAGGAAGGTATTCGGTTTCACAAAGGATCATTATTGGCGAAAAGCAAAGAGCATCATGAGAGTCATGGTACGAATGATCGGGTAATAGGGGTGCGATCAAAACCTTTTCTTGAATTATGACATTATTATTACATAGCTTGGGTTTGAACATCGGGATTTATACTTTATTTTTAAGACAATATAAATATATATCTATTCTTAGTCAATATATAATGTAAAATTATTATAAACCAAACAAATTTTTAAATCAATGCTATAAATTATTAATACTTGAGTATTTTTTTTATTTTTAAATTAATAATTTAGCGGTTAAGCAGTATTTATTGAATAAAGTGAAGTTACAGTGGATCTAATATTCACAATAAGCAAAAAAAAAAATAACTATAAAAAAAATATGAAAACTTTTAACATTCAAAAATAAAATTCGAATCATAAGTAATAAAATTTTCTAACAAAACTTTCGATCAAATTGATTAATAAAGATTATTTCTAATACGATATACAACAATTAGCAATAAAATTATTTATATTTTTAATCCAGAATACGTAGCATTAACACAGGCTGTAACCTGTGAAGTCCATAATTATTACCTACCATATTATAGATTGTAAACCATTCAACGAACCGAATTGGCCGTAGTTAAATAGATAATTAGTGATTAAGAACTAAAGAAATCAAACACAAAAAACTATTAGAAAAATTACTTACAGGATCTTGGGGTACTAATTCACCGTTTGACATCCTCAATATACAGTAGTTAACTATCTAGCAAGCTAACCTGTTACTAATAAAGACCAAACTACCTAAATCCGTAACCATCGTACAAGCCTAATTCTAAGAAAAGAGAACTGAAAAAATTCATGTGCCTTAATCAAGAATGCTTCTTTTGCATTTGGCTCGAATAGATTTAGATCATTATTTTCTTATTGGATATCTCAATTTTTCTATGTAACTTTGAGATTATCAGCCGTAAAAGTGTTTGACATTACAGCATTTTGCGAAACCTTAATAAATACTATTTACGATTATACCTAATGCCAGATAAGTAAATTTGAGTTACAACTCTATCGGGTAAATAGAAAATATTAGGTGATCATTGTTAAGTTATTTATTTAATTTGAGACTTGATGCACATACTATTGGATCAAGAAATGAAAAAAATACACAATCTTTATAATTTTTTTTCATAGATTCAATGATAATGAGGATGAAAATTAAATACTTATATATTTGTATTACAGTATTATATTAAAATATTTATTATTTATTAATCTATCATTAATTGGTAAAAAAAAAAAAAAGATTTGAATCTTGTACGTATGTAATTAAATAAGTATGCTGAATATTACATATTAAATAACACCGTTTGGATTAATGAATGCCGGGGCATCTTCGATCACCGGCTCAGGAACAGGTAGAGATCCCACTTCAGGGATAGTTGGCGCAAGAATCGCACCACCTCCAGGAAGAAGGGCACCACCCTCTGTAATTGCCATGTCCGGGGTAAATAGACCAACTGGTCCTGAATTGTCCATTTGTGGTATCATTACGGGTAATGGTGGTGGTGCATTAGCAATTGCAAAGGAAAATATAAAGGTAAGTGAGAAAAAGGTTAAAAAACGAAATGTAACAATTAATTGATGTTTCCTGTAAGAATGCATTATATTTAGGGTTTGGTCTAATTTATTGGTTTGATATTTAGTAGTTTCTGAAGATCAAAGAAAAAATTCGATGGTTTTGTACGTTAAAAGATAAATGCATCCGTCGTAACCAAAGATAATCAGATAAGATAATTTTATGCAAAAACATTATCATTGATAGCATAATTTATTATCATCATGCATCAGTAAAACTTAACGTAGGTCCGTCTTATGATCTACCCGGTTCTTATTTATATTTTTATACAGTTTTTTTTTTCTCTTACTGTCCAGTCTCGGGTTCGGGCTGATCCTAATATTCTAAACTATTAGTTATTAACGAAAAATAAAAGTTGTTGATTGAAAAAAAAGGAAACAAAAGAAGTCTTGTAATTAGTGATGTACCATTTATATGATATTTTTTTAGCGTACAGTACGTATAATTGTATAGTGTGTATAGTATGCGCAATACATATGGTACGTATATGATGTATAAACCAACTATCCGTTGTGCCCCGGAATATTAGACGATAGCTCGTTTCCTTTCATGAAAAACCAGAAGAATCTTGGGATATTTTCAGAGAGCAAAGTAGAAAATTTATAATACCAGAAAGCGAATCCCTAAAGATCACGTGCGAGAAGTTTGTTAAGAAAGAGAAAAGAAGAACCCTTCAAAGGTTCCTGAAATCTACGGTAATGCAAAATTCGGGGAGTTTTTAGATGGACCAAACAAGTATAAACGAAGGGTCATATGTGTGGGAAGTTATTTCTCCGTTATTGAATATTGCAATGAGTGAATTACCAGTAAATTTAAATATAAGGGGTGTTTGGTAAGCATAATACTTTATACTAAATACTGTATTTTGAATAAAAAGGGGTGAAGAAGCGAGTGAAGCTAGTGCTCAACGAAAGGGCTCATATAGATGTGCACGAAAGCCAAATTATATGGTAATCGTGCAAATAGAAAAAAAGAGGGTGGAAATTGGGTATATTGAAACAGACAGTCCAGATTCCTTCTTCGATAAACAATTAATCAGTTTTCAAAAGATTCTATTGATGAAACGAGAATGGCTAAGAACGAAAGGGTTTGGCAATGAAGGAAATGCTATCTATTTTTTCGATTAATGTTGCGGGTGAAATAATGAAATTCCATCATATGGGTAAAGAATTTGGTATACACAAGAATTGTTTACACAAATTCCATTATATCTTTCATCCACAGAAGAGCACGATATTTATTCCCTAATTCACGCACCGCTAACATTCAGGATCTCAATCGCATCTACCGTGCGTAATATATTATATAATACTGATGCTTCTACTGAAACCTTGTCGAATATTTCGTTGACATCAGATATGTCAATATCAACAGTACCTTCACTAAATTTCCCATCATTATCAAAAAAAAAATCCTTTACTGAGCATAAACTAAGTTAATTGTTACACTCTTCATGTATATATTTTTATTTTTTACAATATCAATAAAGCTAAGCCTTGGTGGTTCGATTTCGCGTACATAATCAGTTTACTTTTTGCAAATGTATTTCGTGAATTTATTTTATTGTATTGTTATCGATGTATATTAACTCGCATATGATCGATAATTTTTTTTATGTAACTCTGATCCGTGGATTACGTATTTGAAAATTGGTGAATATGACCCCTAAAAATGGCAATAAATTGACTTTCAGTACGTAGACAGGACTGGTACGTACGTAGTACCTTTCTTCCCATTTTGGCAAAACTTAGTAGTAATTGGTGATGTATTTGCTGAATTAAAATAGTCTTAAATTCACGCAATGTTCTAATCGGAATTTCATCAAGTTCACTGCGTGGCATGTTATATTTTTTAATTGTGCTGCAATGTTGTTTATAACCATTTTCCGATTTAAATTTTCGAAAACAAATTGGACAAAAGACTAAAGATATTAAATTTCATAAAGATGTGGGTAGTAAACTTATAGTTAAAAGACAACTTCTGCTCTTTTTATTAACAATTAGTGAAAGTACTTCTTTTATAAAGAAATTTATGCGAATTACCCTTTTAAAGATAATAATATACATGATGTCAAACGATATGTCCTAGTAAGGATTGGATTAGACGTCAAATGATATGTCCAAGTAGATCTCTAACCAATAGAAAGCAGATGGGTTTTGGCTAAGGCAGATGGGTTTGACGCATAATTTTGCATAATCGGTATAGTTTTAAATTATTAGAGTATTGTTTTGTACATTTGACCAATTGGATATAAGAAAATATGGGGTTCAAATTAAGGCCCAATGCGTTCAATCCGCCCATATTACATATATCGATATACAGTATATTTAACTTTACCTATGTAGATGTTGAATTATCATGCTACACTGGGCCGTTATTTATCAAAGAACGAACTTACTTCTATAATTAGGTAGGGGATTTATGGTTAGGGTTTTCGTGATATTATATATGATGAAATATTTGTTTCTGGTTTATCTCGGCTTTTGTGTGACGGATGGGAAGAATGAAGAAAGATGAATTTTAAATAAACGTTCTCACCTATAATTAATGATCTTAAGAGTATGCATTATAATACCAAAATTTCAAAAATAGAGTTTCATACTCTGCAAGCACAAGGAACTACGATCGTTATGATTTTTGTTATCCATAATTGCATTAATTATTCGAGGATATTTTTTAATAAAAAAAAAATTCGGACTTTATTTCGAAGGATTTTTGGTTATTGATACGATCGGGAATGAGAAGCCTCAAATAATGGAGAATGGAAATGAATATTTTGAAGAATTTTTTCATATATAAAAAAAGGCCAAGTAATTGAAATTATTTTAGAACTCTAAAGTTATAAAAACTAAGAAATTACTTTTGTATTGCCTTATATAAATTTTCGAACAAAGTTTATTTCTTTGGTCCAGTTAGTATAACTAAACTCATTAGACGTTATAATACGAATAATTAGACGATAAGTAATTTAAATAAAATTAACTTAGTATTTATAATACTTAATCATTAGCTGTAAAGACAAAGTATTTAGATAAATAAATTAACAATCTTATGATATACGTATTATAGGTTAGAAATTAAAATTATTAAATACATACGTGAAGGGTAGGGGGTAGTAGTTTAAAATTATATATAAACCTAATGGTAATTTTTTTTTATATTTAATTTTATAAAAAAT